CGAATCGCCCTTGCTTACTCCCCCCCCCCCCGCACCCACCCCCCGCACGCCCAGACCCACGCCCCCCCCCACACCCACACCTACGCCGACGCCCACACCCACGCCCACACCCACCACCACCACCACCCCACAGCCACCCACACCCCGGTCGAAAAATAACAATGTTGATTTTCGAGGGGGGGAGATGAAGTAGTATTTCTTAAAAAATGAAATAAAGCAATAAACCTTCGAAAAAAATCAGCAAAAGGAAATCGAGTTAACACGAAGCGGCCGCTCGATGGATATCTAACAGGCACTCGGCGGAGCGGACGCACCGTGCGCCCCTTTAGACAAGGTATGATATCAGAGGTCCCCTCTTGCTTCTTTCTTATCGTTCGATTTTATTTCGAATTAACAGCTATCACTGACTCAAGCGAGAGAAGATGGAGCATTATATAAGAGAGAATAAAGCATCAAGGAATGCGAGTTGAATAAACAAATATCGATGAGTCATGGAATATAACATGTGACTATAACATATGGTGCAGCCGTCCCGCTCAGCAAAAATGGTTACGGAGCGGCGTCAACCGCCGTCACTATTTGAAAATTTATCTCATCTTTTCCGCTGCTCTCGAGTCGATTTTCAGAGCTGTGGCCGTGCCTATCTGAAATTTCAACTTGTGGACTTCAGAGCGCGCAATCAAACTCAATCAAACATTTGCTAATCAATAGACGGTAAGAAACGAGAAGAATCGCAGTAAAAAATAATTTTCAAATAGTATGAATATCAATTCAATGGCATGCGACATCTTTCGAGAGCTCTCTCACATCATTAGTCAACATGGATGAAATATGGACTGTGAACTCGAGTTTGGTTCCCTTCTGACGACCATATTTTTTCTTTCTTGGTACGTACCCGCAGCCTGATGAATTATTGAATCAATATTAAATATACATATTGAGGGTCACCACATGTCCAGACACTTTTTTCTAGGTCCATATGCAAGAATTTATCAACCAAAATAATATAAATAAAGTAGGCACCTATTCATTTGTCTAGCCTCAGTGCAATTTTTTGAAGATTTTATTCAGTAAAACAAAATATACTAAAAGATGTCGCTACAATCTTATATTTTATAACGTTCTTATAATAACATGCCAATTTTTAAAAAGAAACCAAAAACACAGTTCGATGGAGAAAATTTTTCTCTATTTATTGATATTAGTGCTATATGTAGCCCATTCAAAAATTTCAACTGACTAATGATTCAACATTTGCTACTGATTCGTTTTTTTTTCGCTATGGTTTGTCGGGTAAACGTCTGTACCATTTATATTTTTCCTTTTTATATTTCTTCTTATTTTCTTCGACATTTATCCTTTCTTCCTTTCTCCATCATACCGATATATTGTGCGCGTTGTCTTCATACTTTTATCGTTTTTTGTGCTCACATTTGTAAATGTGTGTATGAAAATAACAGCATACAGGTAGATTATCATTATATGATCGTCGTTTTGCATGAATACTCTCAATAAAAAGAAACGTTACAAAGACAATTGGTGATACTTATTTTGATTACAAGAATGAGTAAACAAGAAGAAGATGATGAAAACCAATTGTTGCTCTGTAATAAAAAACCCTCCCATGACAATGATAATCACCATGGACGGCAATCATCTCGTCTTGAATGGGCAGAATCGTCTTACACTCGTTTATTACATGTATTATGTTGGTCGTGGATTTATCCAATTCTTTCTTTAGGCTATAAACGGGAATTGACGGAAAATGATCTTGATGATACGCCTCATGTTGACAAAACTTCGGTACTATTAGATAGGTTACATTCTTATGACTGGTCATCGACAACAACATGGACGATTATTAATAAAGAGTTTTGGAAAGATTATATTGTTGCTAATCTGACCCTTTTTCTTTTTTTGATATCATCTATTGTTCAGCCATTACTCTTACACCAATTTATCTTGAATATGACGAATACACAAGGATCAAATACTGCCAGTTATTTATACCTCGTATCGTTGTTTATTTGTGTAGTTATATATCCACTCACGGACCGACAAGCTGTTTTTCATGCGGCTCGTGTTGGTGTTCGAATTCGTAATGCACTGATAATAACCATTTACAAACGCTTATTGTCTCTGAAATGGATATCATGGCAGCAAATGAATACAGGTGAAACAATTAACTTGATCGCTAACGATACATTCAAATTTGAAGAAATGTACGCATATTTGGCTAGTCTATGTGAAGGACTTCTTGAAGCCATCCTCATATTTGGCTTATTGTGTTGGATAATACATCCTTTACCAACTCTGTGTGCTTTCGCTCTATTTTCTCTATTCATTTTAATACAATTGTATTTCGGTCGGAAATTTCGTCAGTGCCGTGAAATAACAGCTATATGTAGTGATAAACGAATACAGGCTTTCAGTGAATTTATTCATGGATGCCACATCGTTAAAATGTATAACTGGGAAAAATCAATAGAGGATTGTATAGCTAAAATGCGTGAAAATGAATTAGGAAGTATTCGACGTACGTCTCGTTTCCGTGCGCTCAATGTGACTCAATTCTTTATCTCAACACCACTTCTTGCATTCCTCACTTTTGGAAGTGCATGGCTTCTCGATTATCCACTGAATACAGCTAATGTTTTTCCAGTTCTTTTATCCTTTACTTTGATACGTAATAATGCTATGTATTATATCTCTCTGGTCAGCGAGAAACTAAGTGAAGCAAGATCAGCATCAAAAAGAATAGATGCATTCATGCGTCTGCCCATAAAGCAAGAACATCAGTTTCGACCATCCACATCTTCAATCCATCAGCAACAAAAAGGATGTATCATCATGTCTAATGCATCTTTTTCATGGCATAATGAGATACCTTGTCTATCATCGCTTGATCTAACTATCGAACAAGGCACATTTGTAGGAATAGTTGGACCAGTAGGTTCTGGTAAATCAGCCTTACTCGCTGCTATTCTTGGTGAAATAAATCTTCTTAATGGTCAATTAAATACAAATGATAGTTCGTTTTCTTATGCTGCACAATCACCATGGATATTTGCAGATACATTTCTTAATAACATCCTTTTAAACCGACCATTTGACGCACAACGATATGAGCAGGTAATATATGCATGTTGTCTCGATGTTGATCTTAGTCTTCTTGGATCTAGTGGTGAACTCACTATGATTGGAGAAAATGGAGCTAATTTAAGTGGTGGACAAAAAGCAAGAGTAGCATTAGCTCGTGCTTTATATGGTGATGCGAACATTTATTTACTTGATGATCCATTATCTTCTGTCGATCATAGTGTAGCCAAACAAATCTATGAACGGTGCATTGGTCCATGTGGATTATTGAAAAATAAAACTCGTCTATTGGTTACTCATCAAACACAGTTTCTGTATGAATCACATCAAACAATATTTCTGTCACATGGATATATCGATAAACAAGGTTGTTTGAAGGAAAATATCATTAGAGAAGATGATCCTAACAAAAATGAAACATCAATATTAGCTGATATGCTTGATGTAAATACATCAATGGCTGATACTCAATCGATCATAATTGACGAAACGTCTCTGAATAATGGTGCCAGGTGGTCTGTTTGGTATCATTGGTTTACTGCACTACCATCCGGTATCTTTGGCTTCTGCTTACTTATTGTTTTACTCTTGCTAGCTGAGGTGTTAAGTGACGGTGCAAACTATTGTCTCAGGATATGGTTGCAACGATCACAAACAGATGAACAACTTTCACCAAAATTTGCTTATATTTGTTTTTGTTTGATAATAGCTACAGTATTTGCAGATATAGTGCGTACAAACTATTATTTTACTGTTGTTTTACATGGTTCGAATAGTTTTCATAATAATATGTTAAAAGGACTATTATATACATCAATACAGTTTTTTGAAAGTAATCCAATTGGAAGAATCCTTAACCGAGTAAGCAAAGATCAGCATGTTATTGATGAGTTATTGCCTCTTATCTTGCTGAGAGGTGTGATAGCAATTTTAATAGCAGTTGGTTCGATGTTCATTATTTGTTTTATTAATCCATCTACCTTCCTTTTACTTATCATATTAGTTCCAGTCATTTGGTTGATAACTCGGTTTTATCAAAAACCTTCTCGTCAATTGAAACGACTTGAAAGTATCACTCGCAGTCCTATTTATGCACTCTTTTCAACATCTCTGAAGGGTTTACCAACTATTCGTGCACTTAAAGCTGAAAACAGTTTTATTCAATTAATTTCAGATAGAATTGATACCAATACATCTGCATATATTAACATGCAAGCTGCATCGAATTTGCTCGCATTAGGACTTGCTATGGTGTGTTCGCTGCTTTTGTTGTTCACTTCTGTTCAAATACTATTGTTTCACAATAAAATAGACTCGTCGACAGCTGCACTCAGTTTGATATCTGCAATATCAATAACAGTATCATTTCAATGGGCCGTTAGAAGGTTGTCTGAAGCTGATATATTGATGACAAGTGGCGAACGCATTAATGAATATTCACATTTGCCACCCGAAGAGGATGACGGTGGCTGCAAACGTCTTGTGAAAACTTCACCAGAATGGCCAGCTCGTGGAACAATTGAATTTAGAAATTATTCATTACGTCATCGATCTGGCCTAGAACATGCAATTAAAAATATTAATCTGCGTATTGAGTCTGGCCAGAAGATTGGCATCATTGGTCGAACTGGTGCGTATTAATACCTAGATAATATTTTTTTAATGGCTTGTGTTTCTAGGTGCTGGAAAATCGTCACTTCTCAAAGGCATCTTTCGATTTGTTGATCGATCAAATGTTGATGGTCAAATTCTAATTGATGACGTTGACATTAGTTGCATCACACTTAATCATCTTCGATCTCATCTCACTATCGTTCCTCAACACTCTATATTGTTTAGTGGTACTCTTCGATATAACCTTGATCCATTCAACTGTTATTCTGATGAACAATGCTGGAAGGTACTCGAAGACGTTCAACTCAAACAATTTGTGATGCATCAGCCAGCAGGTCTTCTAATGTTTATTGCTGAATCAGGCAATAATTTGAGTGCAGGCCAATGCCAATTGATAAGTATTGCACGAGCCATTCTGAAGAAAAGCGAAATATTATTGATCGACGAAGCAACAGCTCATGTGGATCAAAAAACAGATGATTTAATTCAAACCGTTATTAATAAGAAATTTCAAGATCGAACTGTTATAACAATCGCTCATCGACTGAACACAGTAGTCAAATGTGATCGTATTCTTGTATTGGACAATGGCATGATAATGAACTATGATACGCCTAGAAATATCTTGCACCTATATGACCAATAATCTTGGAACTTTTTATGACAAAAGAGTCAGAATAACCTAATTATTTCAGTTTCCGATATGATTGTTAAGAGAGGGTTCGCGAGAGCACCTACGAAGCCGGTACCACTAAAAATTTAGATTTTCGATTTGATATTCTGAAACGATGGGCTATGATTAGAAACTTATAAATCCAAAATATGAGCTCTTTATACTTCTCCAGTAAAAAGTTTTGAATTACACAATGTGACATCTCGTTTGATCCTTGGTTAAAAACCGGATTTTTAGGATGTTCTCGGTATTTTAAATTTTTCTCTACAAAACTGGTTAACTGAATCATTTTTACAAGGTACTTTAATAATACATAGTTTCAATATACAAGCAAAAAGTACGATTCGATTGTGCAGCAATTTTTTAATATTTTGCATATTATTATACTTTGACTCGCTGTCCCAAAATAATTTTTATATTTTCTGAAAGCCCTTGACATTCTGCATCTTTTGAGTCATTACTCAAATGTTTCCTATTCTGGTAGCGAAAGTTAGTCAATACCACAAGTGCTAGCAGACCACGATCATTTTCTCTTATTTTTTTAATTTTTTGCCTCTTGCACCTTTTATATTCACTCTAACCAAAAACATCGACTTGAGAATCGTGATCAGCGTAAAAAACTGCACCGACTGTACTATTTTAAAAAATACTTTCAAAAGTGCGTCGGGAGCATCACTCGGTCAGATATGAAGTTTTATGAGTCAGTTCACATAAGTCACAACCGACTGTTACGAAGGCTGTTCAATCGAGGTCATCCGACTTTACTCAATTTAATATATACTTTGGAAGCCATAGTTCTAAGAATTTTGACGTAACCCGTTTGAAAAAATACTGTTCCGTTGTTGAGATATTTAAACTTTTCTGAGAGCACTATCGTGAAAAAGTGCCATTTTTGATGATTTTTTGTGA